GGTTGAAAGTTATGAGATGGCAATGGAGATGCTGGATGTGGATGAGGCGACATGCGCTAAATACTTCACCATGATGTTGGATGGAACGACACACACTTGGCTGAAAAGTTTGCCGGCTAATTCCATTGGGTCATGGGCCGAGTTGAAGGCCTGGTTTATAACAAACTTCAAGGATACGTGCAAGCAACCCATGTCAATTGTGGATCTAGCTGCCTGTGTCCAAGAGGAAGGCGAATCAACAACCCATTGGGTGCACCGGGTTTCGAAGATCTTGCATTCATCGGACCGCATCAATGCTGATTTAGCAGTCATAACATTGGAGGGCAATTGCCGGTTTAAGCCGCTGAAGCTGAAATTGGGACGACTCAAGCGTCATTGCAATGACATGGGAACACTTATGGAAGCTCTGGTTAAGTATGCCGATTCTGATAGTACCAAGGATCCCGAGTCTGACGATGAGAAGCCGGGGAAGGGAAAGAAGAACGGCGGTGCGAAAGGGCAGCAACATAACCAGGCGGGCCATGGGAACAATGGTAAGTGTAAAGTGGATAGTAATTCCAATTTTGTGGCTAACACCAACGCGCGGGACAATGGCCAGCGTCGTAAGGGTAAACCGCCCCCGCGGAGTGGAGGATCAGGTGTCAATCTTGAGCGTCTGTTAAATCAGCCTTGCCCGAGGCACGGGACGCGAGAGAAGCCAGCTACGCACCTATGGAAGGATTGCTTTATTATGAGGGAATTCAAAAACTCGGATCTTTTCCGATATAATCATGGACCGACCGGCGGTTCAGGCCCCGGGTCTCATGGGCCGGGTTATGGTGAGGTAATTCCGGTTCAGGATTTCAAGGTAATCAGGGTGGACATGGCAATCAAGGCAATCAGGGCAACCAGGGTGGTTATAATCAACAGGGGAATCAGCAGCAGCAATAGTCGGGTTACCAGAGCCACCCAAAGCAGTTGAATAGTGGGCAGTATCATGTCTTCAACACTAGCCTGTGCAAGCGCGATCAGAAACTTCATAAAAGGGCAGTGAACTCCGTTGAACCGGCGGTGCCCCGTTACTTGCATTGGTCTGAACATCCTACTGTGTGGAGTCGAGAGGATCATTCGCCCCGGGTTGATAATCTAGGTCATCTGGCGTTGGTGGTGGTGCTACAGGTTGGAGGTTATAAGTTCACCAAGGTGCTCATGGATGGAGGGAGCAGTATCAACATCTTGTATTATGAAACCTTCCGTCGTATGGGGTTGACAGATAAGAATCTTAAACATCGAACACCGTTTTCCACGGTGTGGTGCCCGATAAATCGGCTTATCCGATTAGTAACATAGCTCTGGAGGTTGCTGTTGGAGATGATCATGATTCGAGATCAGAGACATTGACTTTTGAAGTGGTGAAGATCAGGAGCCCGTATCATGCCCTGTTTGGACGGACGGCTTATGCTAAGTTCATGGCAAGGCCCTGTTATGTTTATCTGCAGCTTAAGATGCCGGGTCATAAGGGGACCATCATAGTACATGGAAACTGTAAGATCGCTTTGGAATGCGAGGAGGGCGATGCGGCCTGTGCTGAGTCGGTTTGTGCAACAGAGGAGTTGAAGTTCTATAAAGACAATGTTGATCTGGCAGATATGACGTCTTTGAAAAAGCCAACTACAGAGCATGATCCGGCATTGAAGTTTGAATTGGCTGATGAGACTAAGTTGGTTGATTTTGTTCCTGGCGATTCGTACAAGTAGTTTAGCATCAGCGCTAATCTAGATCCGAAATAGGAAGGTGCGGTCATCGAGTTCATCTGTGAGAACCGGGACATCTTTGCATGGAAACCTTCTAACATGCCAGGTGTACCGAGGGAACTCGCTGAGCACACTCTTAATATCGATCCCAAGTTTAAACCGGTCAAGCAATTTCTCCGCCACTTCAATGAAGAGAGACGCAAGGCCATTGGTGAGGAGGTAGCCCGGCTCTTGGCAGCAGGGTTTATTGTGGAGGTTTTTCATCCTGATTGGTTGGCTAACCCGGTGCTGGTACTTAAGAAGAACGCCACTTGGCGTATGTGTGTGGATTACACATACTTGAACAAGGCTTGTCCGGCTGATCCCTTTGCTCTCCCTCGTATTGATCAAATTATCGAAGCTACGGTGGGTTGTGAGCGTTCGAGTTTTCTGGATGCTTATTCCGGTTATCATCAGATCAAAATGGCAGTTAAGGACCAGGAGAAGACAGCTTTTATAACTCCCTTTGGAGCCTTCTACTATGTGTCTATGCCTTTTGGGCTCAAGAGTGCCCAGGCGACCTATCAGCAATGTGTGCAGAATTGTCTTCATAATCAGATTGGGCGCAATGTTCATGCTTATGTGGATGATATCATGGTGAAATCCAGGAAAGCAGAGACATTAAAAGCTGATTTGAAGGAAACCTTTCACAATCTCCGGGTTTATAAGATGATGCTTAATCCGGCCAAGTGTGTTTTTGGTGTACCGGCAGACAAGCTCTTGGGTTTTCTGGTGTCTAACAGGGGCATTGAAGCTAATCCGGAAAGAATCAAGGCTATTACGTCCCTGGCTAAACCGGCGTGTATCAATGATGTTCAACGTCTGGCGGGTCGTATTGCAGCGCTAAGCCGGTTTATCAGCCGGTTGGGAGAGAAGGGCATCCCTCTGTATCAGATGATGAAAAAGACAGACAACTTTGTCTGGAGTGATGCTGCTAATGCGGCGTTTGAGGATCTGAAGAAGCAGTTAGCCGAGCCGCCTGTTCTTGCTACCCCATTGATAAGGAACCATTGTTGTTATATGTGGCTGCTAACGCCCGGGCTGTCAGCGTGGCTATTGTGGTGGAGCACAAGGAGGCAGGTAAGGAGTATCCGGTTCAACGGCCGGTTTATTATTATCAGTGAGGTGCTTATTGAATCAAAACAGAGATATCCACATTGGTAGAAACTTGTGTATGGAGTTTTTATGGCAAGCCCAAAGCTTAAGAAGTACTTCCAGGGCCATCCCATCACTGTGGTTAGTTCCGCCCCTTTGGGAGATATCATCCACAACAGGGAGGCAACAGGACGGGTTGCTAAGGGCGTGTTTGGTTCATTGGCCCGCACCTGCATCGCACCCACGATGCAGTTTTCGCAGTGTTTGGTAGCCCGCATGTCTAACTGGGCCAGGCCCGGCTGATGCAAAATAGCCCCCCCCCCCCCAGCCAAGCTGAGGTCGCACACAGGAATCGGCCGTTTCCCCGAGCCTGCACCTGCCGTTTCATGCACGCCCTGCACCCACGCGAGCAAGGGGTAGGGTTTCTCTCCTGGTAGGTACCCCAACGCATTCACGCCGCTCTCTCCTCGCTCCCCTCCCTCTCCTGCGATCC